TAGCTAAGTCTCAGAGGACAGAAAGCACATGCAAAGTTTTACCGTGGGAGAATGGCTCGCTTGCCAACAGCTTTTTCTTTTGGATCTAGCTTCTTGGCGACTCAGCCTGACTCCATCTAGTGTCAGTTTTGGAAACTTGAATTGCGCCTCCCCTGTGTTGGGAAGTCCCTCTGTAGGGGAGCTCTGGTACGAGGCCTGCAAGCGCGGCTCCCGGCCCGTGAGCAGTTTGTCCCGGGGACAAACGTGCCTCCCGCCATTGCCTCCCAGCTCCCCCCTCTCCCGTCCTTCATCTCTTATCTCCCTTCCTCCACCCATTTGCCTTCCTCCGGCAGGCAATCATGTGCTTTTTTTCCTGCACTTCACTTTCAAAACGTTCATCGTTGAATATTTTGCACCCATGTTGCCCGGATTATGGAAATTGCCTCCCATAGCCCTGATGTCTCAAAATAATCCAGAGCTTCCACATACACACAGAGCACAGATGCTCCTCTTGCACGAGCCTGCAAAAACACAGTGACTGTTCATCCAGCAGTGCTTGCAGATTGGCTTATGTTGTGTTGCTCACAGCATCTTCCCTCACACACCTATGTGTCAATCATTATAAGTTGTCACATACACACATGCACACACATGCACACACAAACACACATGCATGCACACACATCCACCAGGATTAAGAATTGGGCTTCGTGAAATTTCATGCTATGTGAATTCCATGACTTAGATGCCCCTGAAACATGATCTATGTCAAGTTCTAGAGGTTTCCAAAGCAAGAGCCTTGACTCAAAGTGCCACTCAATGCATGTGGGCAGTTTGGATGGTCAAGGTAGCCCGGCTGTGCCGGGTGGAGCTCGAGTACCCCAGCGCCCTTCCTGGGGGTGGTGAGCCGGTCACCGTGCTGAAGTCCCCACGGGGCTCAGTGGTCTTGATCACAGGCCCCGAGCTGGCCACAGCCGTCTGCAGCTTCTGCTCCTGTCCAAAACTGACTCCTCCCGCACTCCCCACCTGGGGAGGCCACCTGGGCCCACAAAGGCAACGCAGGTTCTGGCTCTGGGGGTCACCTGCTCATCTCCAGGTCCCCCTCCACCTGGAGCCAAGTCTCCTCATCCTTCCAGGCTCCGTCCGCAGCCTCCCTGGGTCCCAGTCCACCAAGAGCCCAGCGCGGAAACCCTGCTGCAGGTCAGTGGGCCCCGATCCCACAGTGGGGGAGGGCGATGTAGCACCCAACGCACAACTGGCGAGCGCTGCCTCTGGGTGAGCGCCGACCAGGACGCCCTCCTGGCCAGGCGCCGCAGCGGCACACTCAGGGGACCTGGCATCATGCTGGTCCCCCGAGGGCTGGAATAAGACAGAGCTGCCCCAGGGAGAAGTCCTCTTGGGCAGGGCATGGAGCCCCAAATTCCGGCATGAGTGGTCTCACGGGTTTGGTGGCACTGGGGGATGTTCAGCGTGTTTCTTCTATGAAGAGGAATGTGGCAGCTTCATCCAGTGCGTGTGAATGTGTGCGTGAATGTGTGCGTGTGTCTCTGAGATGGGATGCCTGGCACCCCAGTCCCCCCAGGCTGAAATGCCCCCAATTCCACCACACATTTCCAAAAGCCCCCTGCCCTGGTGCAGAAGAGGTGACATGGCCAGCGAGAGGAGAGCCATGTGGCCACCCGGGGCCTGGACACCTCCCAGGCCCACTCGACCTAGGGTGACCGCACGTCCCTGCTTCCCTAGGACTTAGCGGTGCCTCTTCTCACTTCACAAAGTCCTACTTCGGGCGCTAAGTCACATGGTCTCCAAACTACACCTCTGTCTTCCCCAGCCCTGGCCCCGGTGGGGTGACCAGTAAAACAAAGTGGGGAGGGGCAGGGGACGGGGAGAAGGAGAGCGGGAAGGGCCTCGCAGTCAGAAAGCACGGCCAAAACCAGAACACCTGAAGAAGGGGAAATCGTCAAAACAGTGAGCTTCTCAAGAAAGGCCATTGCTGGCTCATCGCCGGGGCGCGAACCCATTAGTGCTGTGGATCCCGACCCCTGACGACTGCGCCACGCATCGTCTCTCGTCCCCTCCGCCCGTCCACTCCCGCACTGGTCACCGCTTGGTACTTACCAAGCCCCAGGTCGCATGGAAGAACTAGAGGGAGGGACTGTGCTTCGCCCCTTCCTAGAAGCCACCACCGCCGTCTCAGCCCCCACCTCTGTCCTGACCACCAGCCACCTACCAAACATCTCTACTAGGAAGCCTCCAGAAACCTCAGGCTCACCATGTTCGAAAAAGGAGCTGCCATCTCACCCCCTCAGCCCACGACCAGAGCTGCTCCCCCACCTACTTCCAGAAAGCTCCGAGCTGCTCTAGGTCCCTTTCTCTCCTCACATGGCCGTACGAACACCCTCAGCCCCACCGGTCCTGGGCTGGCAGCCTCCTCCACGTCCCCCATCTGCCGTCTCCTCTGTCACCTCCACCTGGCCTTGCTCCAGCAGGGCTCTGCAGAGGGCCCGACTCTACCCCTCCCTGCACGTGTCCCTGTCTCCGGCCGGGCCCCTCCTCTTTGCTACTGTAACACAAAAAATATCCCATCCCTCCCCCACCAAAACCCATCGGTGGTTGACCAGAAGTCTCAGGATAGATTTCAGACTCCTGTGCTTAGCACAGACCCTCTGGCTCCCCGTGAGTGAAGCTGCCTGTCCCTCCAGCCTCGTCCCTCCACACTCCACGAGCAGCATTTGCTCCTGCCCGCTGCGTGCTTGCTGGCTGCAGGCTTTCCGCAATGACCCACGCACGCCCGCACAGACCAGGGTGCCCTGTGCCTACACGAGCTTCTCTCTGTCCTTCCACACGCAGACTGAAGACCACCTGCACCTTCCCTCCCGGCTGTGTGGCCTCTGGATCCCCAAGACACGAGGCAACACATGTGTGGCCCTGCCAATGGGCTCGCTCCCACGTGCAGCCACCATCTGCCACCTGCCTGTCTCCGTGTAGATGGAGGGAGCTTGTCTTCCTTCTCTGTTCTTAACCCCCAGCACCTGGCTCATGGCCTCATGCCCATTCATTCATTCATTCAACAGGTACAGGAGCACCTACTCTGCTCCTGGTACTGTGCTAAGTGCTAGGGCCACAGAGGTGAAAAGGAAGACCCCACCCTTAAGTAGCTTGCATTTTAGGGAGAAAACCATAAAAAAAAGACAAATCAATATAGCATATAACATCAACTGGTGGAAAGAACTATAAAGAAAAAATAAAGCCAGGTAAGGGGAAGAGAATAATGGCTATGGGGGAGGGGGGATTCTGCTTTAAACAGGCCGTCTATAATGAAGTGGTGACGTTGAAGCAGAGATGTGAAGGAAATGAGGGGCAAGGTTCGCAGCTACATAGGCAAAGAGCATTTCACATGGTAGGAAAAGCAAGTGCAAAGGTCCTGAGGCAGGACTGTCCATGAGGATGTGTGCTCCATGAAGAAGAGCAGTGTGGCTGGTTGCCAGCAGAGAAGCCAGGAAACCTGGGGCAGACCTTGTGTGGCCTCCCAAGGGGGTGGTGGCAGAGGCTGGGACCTCATTTTAAGTGGGGGCTGGGGATGTCCTGGAGGGTTCCAAGCAGAGGGTGGGCCAGAATCTGACCCAGGGTGTGCAGAAACAAGCCCAAGTCCCCTTCGGCTACTGTGCCCTGAGGCCCCCACTCTCATGACACCCGCCCACTGGTCCCAAGGGGAGGAGGTGGGAGGAGGGGGCTGCGAGGCACATTCTAGTCCCCCTAGAAAGCATGGCAGAGTGCAGAGAAGGGCGGGGATGGCAGGCAAGGGAGTGGGATGCTGGGACGGGAACGTCCCTCGCTGACCGCAGCAGCAGCGACCTTACCTCGGGGCTCTCTTCTTCAGCAGCGTGGTGTCTAGACAGAGAAAGCCGGGCGTTAGGCAGGAGGGCTCGGCACAGAGGAGGCACCGAGCGTTCCCTAGAGCCCTGGCCTCCCTCACGGCCCGGGACTCGCAGCTCCCTCTAGTTCTGCAGTCCCCACCTGCGGGCTGTGGACCGGGCGCAGAGCTCCCCCCGCACCCCCAACCCTGGTCTGTGGAAAAATCATCTCCCATGAAACTGGTCCCCGGTGCCAAAAAGGCCGGGGACCGCTGCTGTAGTTCACTGATGTCCTCGAGTGATCCGGGGCCCGACTGTGGCGGGGGAAGAGGCCGCTTCCTCCCCCGTATTTACAGGAACACAAAATCCACAAGACACACACCCCTAGGGCAGATCAGCCCCTGGTGCAATGGGGCACGCCTGCATCTCAGGGTTCCCGCACACACCCCTAGGGCAGATCAAGCCGCTGGTGCAATGGGGCATGCCTGCATCTCAGGGTCCCCGCTCCTGCCTGGCCCGACCGCCCCTTCTGCTCATCTTCCTGGCGCAGAACCACGTTTCCCAGAAACGCAGGGAGGCTCCTTTCTCCGCGGAAACGCCTCGTGCGAAACTGCGCCATCCTTGCCTTAAGCAGTGTAATGCGACACAGGATGATTTCGTGGTGACGCCTTGAGAGGGGGCATGCCAGTCAGCACTGCATTTTGCTGCTGAAGCCGGCAGACTGGCCTCGCCCGGGCCAGCGCCGGGCTGAGCGGGGCTTGCCCAGGTCACGGGACCCGAGCGATGCCGCCCGGCCACGCACGCAGTGTGGGAGCACCCGCCGCCGCCGCCTGCCCGCACGGGCACCAGCCTCACTCCTCCTGAGGCCGAGCCTGCCTCATTCTACCAGGTGGAAGGGAGAATAGAAATTTCTGTCCGAAGCCAGTCTCAGCTGCTCTTCCCGCCTTTCTCCGGGAAACTCGATTCTCGGAACCCTAGAGCTGAAAGAAAAGGACAGAGGGAGGCAGAGAGACAGAGAGACAGAAGCAGGCGCAGAGAGACGCAGACACAGCAGGGTCACGGCAGTTCCCGTCAGCCGCAGCCTGCTGGGCTCGGGGACCGCAGGTTTGCTTCCTTCTCTAGCCAGAGCCACGGAGTGGCCCTCAGCACCTCTCACCGGGTGGCCGCCTACGACACTGTGCTTTCCCAGGCCAGCCCCTCACCGTTGGGGGCCTGGTGTGTGCTTCTCAGGTCGGAAGAGTAGTCATCGAACAAGTGTCTCCTGATCATGCAGATCTTCAGGGCCAGGACGCCGGCAGAGATGGCGACGCCCAGCGCGGTGCCGATGAGGGCGTACTTGATGTCTGGCGGGCAGGGGGGAATCGAGCAGGGGCTTCAGTCGCCACGCTGCACAGGTCTTCTGCAGCTGCCTTTGCAGGTGGTGACGGCCACAGCACGCGCGCGCGCTCCCACCGCCGAGGCCGGCCTATCTTCCACTCCCTGTGAGCGCCCTGCCCCCGCCTTCACCGCCTCCCGCCCTGTCCTCCTGGAGCAACGCCCCTGGTCCCTCCAGCTGTGGAAATTGTTCCCACCTTCCCAGGGGCCCACCTGCCACCCCAGGCCAGGTGGCAGGTGGCTCATTTCTCTGGCTTCCTATGGCCCTTCCTCACTTATCCCTTCATTAACTCATGGACCCGTTTGTCGAGGACGTGTTCATCGCCTGCCCCGAGGTGAGGCTGAAGGCAGACGAATGGGGGCCTGTCTGCCTTCGAGCAGCCTGCAGTCAGCTGGGGAGGACGGGCAAAGAACTCACTCCAAGGCCACGCAACGGGGCTGCGCTGGGCCAGCGTGGACTCATCAGTGTCGGGAGCCCTCAAGGGGAAGTGCGTGCAGACCGCACCTTGCCGGCGGGGCGAGCCAGGCAAGCCCCCAGGGTGGGGAGAAGCTGGACTGTGCGGGTGGAGGGATGCACAGGGGAGGCAAAGCCTGCTGTCTGGGGCTCTCAGCTCAGTGCAGGGTGCTATGGGTGCTGGGGGTGCCCATCCAGCATAGAGACCAGACAGAGGTGGCCCCGATGCCTCCTGCTGTAACCACACCAGACTATCCGGCTCAGCGTGTATGTAACGAAGTTGTGAGCTGCTTCTCAGTTGCCATGGGCCCCCCCGGTTGAAGGTCACATGACCTGAGCATGCCCAAATGAACCAAGTGTGCAACCACAGAGGAACCTAAGTGCTTGGACTGAGGAAAGGGAGCTGCAGAAGTGGGCACCGCCTCGCAGGATCCAGGACCCAATCAGACTGGGTCACCGCATGGCAGGGTCCAGTCAGATCATGCCTCCTGGCATCACCTCACTGCAAGATCCAATCAGCTCACGCCTCACTACCCTACGCTTACAAAGCCAGCCCAACCCTCTTGTTCCGGGCACACTGCTTTGGGGGGTACCCCGTGTGCTCCTTACCAGTGCCAGGTAATAAAAGCCCTCTAGCTATAATCAACCAGGCTCTGTCTGTTGACTTGATGTCCACCAAGCAAATGAGCCCCTTCACTGGGGAGGTAACAGTGTCCCCTTTGAGGACAGGCTCTTGCCCCCTGGCATAAAGCTGTTAGCCATGCAAGAAGGCCTGGAGGGAGGGTGGCCCTTGTTCTGCACTCACCGGTGTGCAACCAATACCAGCACCGCAGCCACCGGCCTGTGATTTCTGGAAAGCCTCCTTCTGCCCCCCGACCCTGCACCCAGAATTAGATGGAGTCACCTACCAATTTCAGCCCCGGCAGACTTGCCAGTTGCCAACACTTGAGCTCCTCCAACATCTACAAGAAAAGAAAACCCAGAGGCTAGTGAGAACAAAGCCAGCTGTGATCAGGCCAGGGGGTTGAGGGTCCCCAGCCACCCACTCCCACAGATACCCCTCCCACCTGGCCACCACCCTCAGAGCCCAGAAGTGGGCTCCCGACTGCCACCAAGTGTCCTGGAGCCTTGCTGGGACGTTAGAGCCCCTCTCAAAACCCAGACCAGGAATACGATTCTGTCGAGTTCTGTTAAGCCCTTTAACACAGTTTCCAAGACCCACACGCTGACCCCAGCCTGCCTGTCTAGGCTTCCGCCTCACTCCCACGGGCCCTCTTAGTCCAGCAGGACTGCGGGGCTTCCAGCTCCCCACGCAGGCAAGGCGTCTGCTGCCTCTGGGCCACACCCTCTGCCTGGCCCCTTCTTCTCCCCACTCCTCCCTCACTTGCTCTTGGTTCTGAATCGCTTCCTCCCTGACTCCCCGCACCTGCGCTAACCGCCCTCTGTGTGCCCTGCAGCGCTGTGCTCGCCCATCCTAACCAGCCACGCCAATAGTTGACAACACACACGTAGCACTGCTGTGCACCAGCCCCGCACTCCCCAGGTATTGACCCTCGGCTGCGTCTCCCAGCTGGTCTCCCCACTGGGCTGCGCAGTGCGATGTCCAGTATTTGGTGCGGTGCCTGCCCCAGAGGGGGTATTATTAGATGTCTGCTGAATGAACTGTGATCTGAGGGACCAAAATAGATGCCCCTGTATCCAACTGAGACAGACCCTAAGGTTAGGGAAACAAAAGTTACCCATGGGCCAAGGGTTCAGGACTTAGCTGCTGTGGCAACTTCCTAAATTCCTGTGGCTACAAGAAAACCACATCTTTGCTAAGCTTGCTAACGATGGGAGCTATTAGGAAAGTTTTCCAACCCCTTCTGACTCTGATTTACAACCAGACCCTACAACTCTGATTGAACAGAGAACCGGCCTTACAAACATGCTTCCCTGACAAGTAACTGCAGACCCTAAGCCAGTCTCAGCCCGGCTCCTAGAGACCGCACACGACTGTCTTTGTGTTAAGTAGTTCACCTTGTGATGTGAAGAGCCAGATTCCACCTCACTTTGTGCTAAAACCCTGCCCCAAAGTCAAAGTGAACATGGGATGTGTGTTACATGTATGTTTAACCATTGCACATGTGCATGACCCCCCATAAATATGTACAGCTTTTCCCCCAAACCTGCTGAATATGTATGACTCTATTGCAAAACACAGACCCTGTGAGGCATGAAACCCAACCTGCCCTTTCTCTCTTCCTAAAAAGCACCTTCACCCCACACAGGAGAAGTTTGCGAACTGGTATCTCCAACAAAGCTCTCCTTTCCACTCTTTAGCCATCCTGGTGGCCTTGTGGATGACAGAATGAATGAGTGAATAGTGACAGAGCATGCCCCAGGGGTGCCTCACATTTCTAACCAGCGCTTGAAACCTTGAGACGGGAGATGCCACTCACGAGCAGGGCCTGTGTCCCGCAGACGGGTCCTAGAACAGCTGTGCAGAGGCGTCTCCTTGGAGAGGAAGGTGCGCATTGATAGGCCACTTGCTGTGAGACAGATACTGGGTGTGGTGCTGGCATTAACAGATTTAACACTCACAGCAACAACCCCATAAGACAGGCACTGTCACCATCGCCATTTGATGGTGCGGAACCAGGGGCATAGAGGACTTGATAATGCGTCCAAGGGCCAAGAGAAGTGGCAGCGGCGGGGCTGCACCGAGAGCCCAGGAAGCCCTGCAAGCACGAATCTGAATCAGAAGAAGCTGCCAGATGCAATAACACCAAGCCATCAAGGCCAAGGTCTGGGGCAACCCATGGCGAGACCCAAGCCTGACTCGCACGTTCAGACTTCCAGGCAGAGGCAGAAGGACAGAACACCACGGCCCCTGTGTGTCATACAGGAAGCAGGTGTTCATCGGGGAAGGGCGCGTTGCGTGACAGTGAAAGCCTGGTGGCCAAGGCGGGAATGACGTCCTCCACACTACCTACCCTCTCTGCTGCCCACTCGCAACGGTGCCCACAGTGACGTGGCAGGCTGAAGCTCTTAGAGGACGACTTTGCTCTGTGTGTGTGGTGGGGGCAAGGATCACAAGGATTTTTCTGCAGCCTAACTTGGCAGATGGATAAAGCTTGGGGGTCTGGAGCAAAGTTCACAGCCTTGTTCCAATCACAGGTCTCTTTGGAAATGCAGTGATTTCCGTCTTTCCCGCAGACACAAGCGCCCACGTGGGCCACATGCACCCACGCACACGGACACCACTGCACACAAGGTGACCCTGACCGTGTCTGTTCTCAGACACCCCCAGCGAGCTTCATAACACTGTCTTTTGCTGTTTCTTTAAAGTAATCCTCGTGCTCCGGCTAGGCTGAGAACCATCCAGAGACGAGGCAAAGCCCTGTGCCAGACCGACACCCTACACTCAGAGCCGCACCCTGCGCCCGACACTTTCCTGACACCTCCGACTCTCTGCCTTCCCCGGGCAGAAGGCAGGGGCATGGGGAGGCCCCTAAGGGACAGCCTCCCCCGCCCCCTCACACCCTAACATGCTGCCGGGTGCCCCTCAGGGGCCCTCCCCTCCGTGACCACTGCTCCCCCCGTGGAGCGCCGGCGTGGGAACGTCACACCAGCCCGAGATGAAACGTGAACGGAGAAAGAAGAAGGGGATTAGCAGGAGTGAGAGAGACAGAGAAACACAGGCAGGTGCACACGCAGGGACCCACGCGGAGGCTATGCCCGGTGGCTCAGACCGTTGGTGTGAGGGAGGACAAAGAAAGGAGAAAACCGTAGTGTCAAAAAGCCCCAGCTCCGGCCCGGGCCCCACGTCACCAGACCAGCGACATCCTTCCTCATTGACTTCACCCCCCAAATGCGTGTCCTGAACACTCGGCTCTTTCTGCCCCTCCTCGTGGCTGGGACTCAGCTCAGCGCCCCCACGGGTGGGATTGCTAGACACCACCCTCCACACTCCATCCTGTGTCCCCTCCAAAACTCGAGGCTTCCCCAATCCCTGCCCCCGACAGGCTCTCTCTGGGCCCTAAGCTCTCCTCCCTCAGGTCGGGGACTCAGTGAACTCCCCCAGGAGCTGCCCTGCAGGGAGACAAACGTGCGCAGTGGACCAAGCTGTGCACTGAAACAGGCAAAGGCGGTAAGGCCAGCTAGCCAGCCCCACGGCCACTCGGCGGCAGCCTTTCCCCTCCTCAGGGAAAGAAATCCCCAAATGCAGCCCTCCCCTGTACGGGGAGCTGCGACCCTGCCTGCTAACGAGCCCCGGGGTGAGGATCCATCCTGAGCCAAGCAGCTCGGCCGCCCTGCCTCCTGCCAGGGTCAAGGCTCGGGAGTCCCTCCTGGGCTGCATGCCCTTGCAAGCCCCCGGCGCTGAAGTCCCCGGGCTCTGCAAAGTAGCTGGATGAATGCCCTAGCAGGCCGATGGGCCAGCATAGCCGGAGGACTCCAGAATGCTCCTGCCGCCTTCAGATCCATGACGGACCCCCAGAGGAAGCCCACAGAAGCCAGCAGGAGCTGCACCATGCTCTCTCTGCTGGAATTCTCTGGCCTCTGGTCTCTGGTCTCTGGTCTCTTGTGCAAAAAGGAGAGCAGAATTTGGCAACCAAAGGAGAGTCCAGGGAGCTGAGCAGGGGCTGGATGTACCCAGGCTGATCTCCCTGGTGGTAGCAGTGGGGTGTGTGACGCAGGGACCTTTCTGACCAGTAGATTCAAGAAGACAGTAGGTGGCCAAATCTGGCTTGACCCCATCTGACTGCCACCACTGGCCACGTGAGCCTGGCTGACCCTCCTGCCTCAGACTGTCCATGCTGGGCTGGTGCACAAAGCCAGGGCACAGCCCTTGCTGCTGCCTAGAGCAGAGAGCAGAAGGCGCCTCCCAATGGCCCTGCTGAGATTCTGGGCCTTCTGCAGCCTCCACCTGCACAGCCTCCCTGCGTGGTCGGGTCAGGCCCTGAACAAAGGAGCTTGTTCTAATGTGCACAAAGGCACCGTATGGGCTCTTGACTCGAGTCTCTGCTTTCTCCCCCATGCCCCATTCGGACCTGATACTCTGCTCCTCCCTGTCAAAACAGTGGGCCCCATGCACCCCCCATGCCTACAGTGCACAGCCTGCTCTGCCAGTGGCTTCCCTGACAGCAAGGAGCCTCCTGCAAGAGTGCACGGCCCTGAGGCCTGTGGCCCCAGCAACATAGGAGGGCAGCCACGCTGCTGCCTGCAGAGGAAGACAGCAGGGCTGTTCCACGCAACTGAGATGAGAGGAGCTGATTCAGAGTGAGCTGAGGGCGTGGCCCAGCCTTGCCCCTTCTCACTTGGAATCTGACCTGCTGAGAGCCCATCCCTGGCATCCGGACCTCTCTGTGCTGTCCACCTGTTGGGTCCAGCCTCAATGGGGGACTGGTACTCTTTGCCACCCTTATTTGGGCAGAATCAGGCTGTGTGATTCCCAGCTGTGGGCCAGTAGGCGTGCATGCACTCGGATGTCATTCTATAAGTATCTGAACTAAAAATAGGGAAAGGCTGCCCTAAGTGTTTGTCAAGTGATGCCTGGCCATGTTCATCTTGGAACCTAAATATTGTAGAATGGCTCCTAACTTTAGATCTCATGAATTCCAACATTCTCAGCTAGAGGAAGCAGTTTCAAATGTCTGGAACAGGCCTCCTTGGTCTCCTGACAGGGTCCACACACATAAAGCACCTGCAGGGGCTCCAGGGGGCCCTGTGCCCAGAGGAGATCCAAGAGCAACCAAAGACCCACATCCCCATGAAGGAGCCCACCGGTGACAGGGGAGACCAGATTTACACTTAAGAAAGATCAGAGCATCACAGGCATAGCGTAGTGCCTTCATGCAAACGTCAGACACCACAAGCTGGAGGAAGTCTGAATAGGAGTGCTGTGGTGGACATTGTTATATGGGCTGCCCAACCCTCAACCCCTCATCTGCTCCCAGCACCTTGGTTTTCCTCTGGTGAA